AAAACAAAACAAAATAAAATTACTATGAAAAAAATTTAACGAGACAACAGTAACAGAAGCATCCATGAGCAGAGAGCTGTCTTGCAGCTCTTGCAAGTAAGTACATACCTTTCCATCTCAAAATATGCCATAAGCCAAAAACTCATCTGCCATTTGTGGCTGCTCCTATAATATCCACTTGCCAGCTACTTGGGTTTGTGTAAATGACAAAGGGTTTAGAACTCTTGAGAAAATCAACACTCAAAACTTTACTAAACTCAGATCTGCACTGGAGGCCTTAAAGAAGGCAGATGGGAGCCCGAGTAATGCCTTCTTGTGGGTAGTTTGCTAAACCATTAATTTTACAGAAAACTACAGTGTTTACTTAAAGATAAGGAAATCAGGATTGGGCACCTGAATTCCTACATCTCTAGCACATCCCCCGAAGGTGACCACCCGTATGTAGCTGCAGTCATAAAGCTTGACTTGAGAGACCCTTAATGTTAATTGCTTTAGTTAGTGACTTGCTTGTTCATGCTTGTGAAAAACATTTATTTGAGGTATAAATATGGAAAAAACACTATTGTAAGTTGAGGGTTTTTTGACTCAGCTGGCTATAGAAATAAACTTGATTCTCAAGAAAAAATGTTTTGGTGGTTACCCTGCAAATATATAACATATATATTTAATCAAAATTTATCTTCAAATGATATTACATATGCCACATTTTTTTTCAGAGTATAACATGCTGTACCACTGAGCTACATCCTCAGCCCTTATGCCATTTCTTATATCACATGAGGATTCTTTAACAGCATATTCTAAATCTCCATCCTATTATTTTTATATGGTTGTCATACATTTTACTTTTACAGTATATGTATTCTATAAACCCACAGTACATTTTTACCCTTGCTTTGGATGACTAACTTTTAAGGTGAGAAATAAATGAGAATGTCTTATATTTACCTTCATTCTGTTTCTTTATTTAGATTCAGATTTCTCTGATATTATACTCCTGCCCAGAGACCTTCTTTTACCATTCTAAGATTCTTCTTCTATTCATTTATGTTGTCTACACTTTCTACAAGAGCTTTTTACATAATACTTAATGTCACTTTTGTGTCTGGGCCTTGATCTAGCTGATTGTTTTATCTCTCAACAAAAGGATTCCTTTTTGTTTTTATTTTATTTGTTAATTTAGGGCAGGGTCTAGAGTCTACAGGGTGTCACTTGTAGTGAACCTCCTGTTTACAGCCTCCCAAGTGCTGGGATTACGAGTGTGTGCCACTATGCCCAGTCTCAATTGCCATCTCAGCAGGCCTGGGGATCGAACTTCTGGCCCTGCATCTGCCTAAGCAGGCGTTTTAACCCACTGAGCTGTTTGGCCAGCCCTTTCTTTTCATTTTTAAAAATATGTGTGTTATGACTTTGTTCTTCAATTATAAGTGTTTAGTTGGATTTCTGATAATGGTAATATTATTTTCGACTGGTTTCTAGACATGGTATATAGAACAACAGGGACTGAGTACAGTGTTATTTATATACTCATCTCTTCCTCTGTTAGGTCATCAGTGTGTGCTGCTGACTCAATCTTTTTAGATGCTGAATTAGGTTTAAGGGCTGTTGTTGCTATCATTTGATTGCCAGTAGTTCTCTCAGATTCCATACTGGGAAGCAGAGAGAGAAGGGAGTAGTGGATAGGGAGACAACACTCCCAGGTCATGCCCAGAGTGACCCAACTTTTCCTGACCACAGGTCAGTTCTAATGCCCCCAACTCCAATCATTTTCCAAATACAGAAGGCTTTGTAGGCCATTACAGATTGAAACTATAGCAATGGACCTCTAGCAATTTAATATAAATTGTAGCTGAACTCCTCTTACTGTCCTGCATGGACAGTTTGTTTGTTCTGCTTCTCAAGTGAGCCAGCACCTACATCCCCTCTTAGTGGAGGCTCCTATCCTTCTTTGGGATTCAAATTAGTTAGTTGCTCTGCAATCTCAGCTCTCTTGACAGGTTTGACAAAAGTTAAGGTTTTGTATATTACCCAACAACTTTTAAAAACTACCATTAGTTACATGGTGGCATACACCTGTAACCCCAGCACTTGGGAGGCTGAGGCAGGAGGATAGCTGTGAATTCAAGGCCAGCTTGGGTGACATAGAGTGGGCTCAAGCCCAGCCTGAACTATATAGTGAGACCTTGTCTCAAAAACCAAAACATAAAAACAAAACAAGTTGTGATTGGTATGCTAGTGATGCTTTCCCCAGTTTTCTGCATTCTAGTTGGAAGAAAGAAGTATCAGACCAATCATTTACTTTTTCACTGCTCTTTCCAGCTTCTTTGGCCATCTCATCCCAGACTGCTGTCTCGGTCTTTTTCTTGGGTAACATCCTTATTGTTTAGTCCTCTAAATTATTTTCAGCTTGGAACCCCCCCCCCCACACACACACACAACACACCAAATCATTTTGATACACTGGCTTGCTAAGTAATTCATTCAGACTGGCTTAGAACTCATTATATATGCAGCCTGGACACAAGCTCATGGCAGTCCTTCTGCCTCAGCCTCCTGAGTGCTAGAATTATAGGCATGCACCACCTCACCCAGGGTCTGCCAACCATTCTTGTGGCTAATATCAGGCAAGGAGAAGGCACAGAGGTTCAAAATAATTGATGAAGACCTGTCCACAGTGATGAATCTGAAAATGGGGGAAGTGACTTTAGGAGCTGAGATCTACCTACTCTACTCCTGACCTGGCCTCATTCTTCTGTGCTACAAAGAGTTGACCGAAGCTGGGCATGGTGACCCACACCTGTAATTTCAGCACTGAGAGGTGGAGACAGGAAGACGGAAATTTTGAACTTACCATGGGCAATTTAGTGACTTAGAAAAACCCTATCTCAAAATTAAAAAGTAAATAAATAAAAAGATGGAGATGTAGCTCAGTGTGAAGGCCCTGGATTCAATTCCCAGTAAGGAAAGAAAAAAAGTAGGGGAACTCAAATACCTACTACTATACTAATAAGAAACAGTAGTCAAAATTGCTAAAATATTCCCTGGAAGATGAAAATTACAACAGAGTAAAAAGGGAGAACAGTCTGGGAGTAGGGGTTATAAGCAGTCTCTGGAGGTAGGCTGCCAGGGTTCAAATCCCAGTTCTGCCACCAACTGGCTGCAGGATCTTGCACAAGTTCCTTTACTTCTATCTCAGTTTCTGATCTGTAAAGTGGAAATAATAGCACTTACCTCATAGGAGTATTTAGAAGAGCAAAAAAGTTAATATATGCCAAGCACTTACAATAGTAACTGGCACATATTAAGCTCAGCAGAAGTGTTAATAATTAGGGCTTCTTTCCTATAATCACAGAAATTTGTAGCAGAGAGCAGCTCCTTCCCTTTCCCAGAACCCATCACAATCAAAACAGGCCATTGCTGAGCATCCTCCAAGTGCTCAAGTTCTGCACCAAGCATTTGTATGGATTATCTCGTGACAGGGAGAGATGAATGATTCTTAGTTTCTAGGCAAGGAAATCCGAAGCAAAGAAGTGTTTACCCGAGTCCCTCAGACTACAAGTCTGTTTACAGCCCGAGATGGTCCTGTGCCTGCTGCAATTTAGGGTACAGGCTTCCAAACTTTAGGGGAGGCTGCTTGCTGTGTTTATCTTACTGGTTTGTGAGATCTCACTAATAGAAGAACAAATGCCTTAGGTATTTGTAGAATAAATGCCTTAGGTATTCGCTGTTTGCTCACAGGAAAACCTGGACATGACAAGAATTTTCACACTTGTATTCAGACCTTTGCACTCAAGCCCTTCCCCCTCTTCTCTGCGAGTTGAATTTGTGAGACTCCGCTCAGATCCAGTATCAGCAGCTGGATTTTGAGCAAGGGGTGGCCCATCAGACTTGAGGAAGGCCAGCTAGCTACACTGTGGGGAGTGGAGTGTAGTAGGACCACAAGGAGTGCACAAAAACCAGATGGAAGCAACTATAGTGGAAACACAAGAAAGGATGGTGGAAACAAGGAGGGAACGATGGATTAGTGAGATACTACGTACAGAAAGAAGCTTTACAGGAAATGGAGGTGTCTTTTAATGTGGGTGGTGAGGGAAAAGGAGGTGCCAAGGATGACGCCTAGTTCCTGGCTAGCACGAGGATGTTTGCTGAGTGAATTACCAAGTGACTCCAACTCAGAAGTATCTCTGACCCATAACCTCCCCTCGTTCCCCTCACAAGCCGCCGGCCAGTCCCATGCTTCTGGAGCTCAGACTACAGGGAGTGGGTGGAAAGGGAAGGGGAAGAGTGTGTGTGGATTCTACACCAGGAACTACAGATTAGACACTCGCAGTGCTGGTCTGAGTCTGAGGTACTGCAAGGAGGACAAACATGTGCCCCCGGCCCGTAGTTTTCGCCTCGCTCTGCTACTCAGTAGGTCGGACGTCAGCACCCCTTAGGATCGTGGAAGTGTTGGCTCCGCGACGGTGTGGAGAGGCGCAGTGTAGCGGCTCACCCTCCAGCTCTGACCCTTCTGTCCCGGGCTCACTCCGTGCACTGCACGCCAGTTCTGTCTAGCCTAAAAGAAGCAGAAATCTAGGGGCAAGGTGAATCCCAGTGTTAGGGGGCCGGCCACCGCAATGCACCTGCCTTTCCCGCTTAGTGCGGCTCCCTGCCCTCCCATTCCCATCTGAGCCTTCTTCAGAAATGCGCGCTTAGCTCCCCGAGTGCGGCCTTGGCAAGGGGACCGCCAGCCAGGTAGCGGCTGCGTGCGTGCAGGCGCTGCGTGGGTGCTGTCCAGGAGCCCAAGAGCAGCAAGTGTGCGTGGGCAGAGAGCCGGCGCGTGTGCCCGCCGCGAATCCGCGCTAGGCGGGGGAGCAGCAAGTGCAATCCGGCCGGCGCAGAGTCGCGCGCGCCGTCTGCTGCGCGGCGGTGTGCGGAGGAGCGCGGCCAGCGGAGGGGAGGGAGGATGCGTGCGGGGAACTTTTTGCTTGCCGGGCAAGTAGGCACAGTCGCGCTGGAACCCGCTGCCTCCGGCCGCCGGGCGAGAGTGGAGCGACAGTGCCCGCCGCCGCCCCTCCCCCACTTCCGCCTCCCGCCTCTTCCTCGTTCCCGGCTCCCAGAGCCGTGCGTCCCCGGGGAGACCCAGAGGCGCAGCCCCACCCTGGCCGGCGCGGCTCACTCCCACGCCCCCGCCGCCGCCTCGTCCGGGCGGACAGACTGAGTCAGCGGGGGCGCCGGGCACTGCAGGTAGGGGCTCCGGTGACTGTGGGCGCAGGTGCCGCGGGGTACCGGAGCACGAGTGGAACAGCGGGGCGGAGCGGGTGGCGTCCTCCTCCGACCCCTCCCTTCCCCCCAGCCGACGCGGCGTGTCCCTTTTTAGGGCATTCTTTTCTCTTGCTTACTCCATTGCGGGTGGGGCTGGGACAGAGAGGGAGTTCTGCCTTTCTCCGGCTTCTGCCCAGGCCCCTGGCAGCCTCCAGCCCCCAAATCTCTTCACTCTCTCCCGGGCATCTACATTCGCGTAAACAACTCCCTTGCTCCAGCTCTCGGCTCCGCGGCCCCGGGTGGGCAGCCCCTTCAAGCGCGTGAGACCAGTGGGTTCATGGGAGGGGAAAAGGAGGTGGCGTCCCGGAGCCCTTGGTACCGGTCAGCTCCCCCATCGCTCTTTCCTCCCCCTCGCCCCCGCTGCTAGGGCAGACGGCCCCAGGAGCCCTGTATATTTTTAGCGTTGTGACCTGGGCAGCAGCTCTAAGAGCCTTTCCCAGGAATCGGCGCCAGCGCCTCCCTTCTCCGCTGCCAGCCGCTGGCCACACCAGCTACCAATACTTCCGTGGCCCCCTCGGGTTTAGGCCCCTTTGAGCTGCCCCAGAGCCTTGTGAAGCTAGTCGGGGTCTGGTATATGCTGAGTCCAGATGTGCCGGTTCACGGGAGGATAAGGATCTGGTCCTCACGCTAGAAACTCCTGCTCCCGGTGATGGGCTTGTGCAGAACGCCAGGAATGAGAATGAGCGAATGGGAGTGAATGCACGGGGCCTGGGCTGGCCACAGCTCCAGTGTTCTAGAAAACTCTCAGCGCTGGGGGGAGGGGGGAGGCAGAAGGCCTGGTCTGAACTGGACCAAGGACCCTCCCTTCCAAGCACTGCTTACTGACTAGTAAAGATGTGTGAGAGAAGGGCAGAAAATAAAGAGATATTGGAGTTCAGAGAAAAGATGGTTGTTCCCCAGATAGGTCGTTTTCAGTGCCTTGTGTTTCAGGCACGAAGAAGGATTATACCATTTCAGATGGGAACACTGAGGTCAGAAAGAGGATTTCCTTGGAGGCAGGGCCACATCTAGAAGTAAGGTCTGTGGCTTCAAAGCAAGAGTTTGGAGATGGAGGTGATAGCCTGTGCTTGTAGAGAGAGGGGTGGGGGAGGGATACTTGCTTCAGTCTTTGGGTTTTGAAGGATAGGGAAAACCTAGAGATACACTGCTAGAGGAAGAGGGTCGTCCACTCCTCTGGCTTTGTCTGAACTCTTTCTCTGACCTGCTGAGGAATGTTGTGTCCAGTAAGTGCATAAAGTATCACTCTCGAATTTTGGGCTGGATCAGCCCCTCCAAGCCTCTCAGAAAGGCGAGCTACTGAGAGTTGACCACTGGTTGCCTTCCCTGAATACAGAGGATCTTTGCTGTGCCTGGAGCTGGCATCCCCTTTGTGGAGTTGGAGCAAGCCCCGCCTCTGCATAAGACTGGGTTTGTGGAATGGGCTTTGTTGCAGAGAAGGGGAAAGAGGTAGCTAAGGGCAGAAGCCTCCAGCCTGGAACCAGAGGCACTGCTGTGGGGATGCTGGCTGCAGTGGGATTCTCTAATCCCAGGCCCTCACTGTCTTCTCACTCATTCTCACAGCTGTACTTGTCTTGCTCCTCTCCCCTCCAGGGGTTGATATGGACCCAAATCCTCGGGCAGCCCTGGAGCGCCAGCAGCTCCGCCTGCGGGAGCGGCAGAAATTCTTTGAGGATATTTTACAGCCAGAGACAGAGTTTGTCTTTCCTCTGTCGCATCTGCATCTTGAGTCCCACAGACGTAAGTTCCAGTTCGTAACCGTGAGGAATAGGGTTGGGGTTAGGGTAGGCAGGCTGCCTGTGGGTGCTGAATCTTGGGGTCACACCCCTTTTGCTTTACCTTGGTCTTCCTCATTTACCTTGTCAATCCTCAGCCCCCATAGGTAGTATCTCATCCATGGAAGTGAATGTGGACACACTGGAGCAAGTGGAACTTATTGACCTTGGGGATCAGGATGGAGCAGATGTGTTCTTGCCTTGTGAAGATCCTCCCGCAACCCCCCAGACAGCTGGTATGGCCTTTTGCTTTGGGGGCTTGGCACTGGGCAGCCACAGTCAGGTTTCTAGACTCTGAAATGAGGCTGCAAGACTGGGCTGGGGGAAAAAATGCAATGGAAGATTGAAAGGGGTGTTTCCACCAGAAAAACTGCTGACTTCTCTGATTTTTCAGAAGTTGAGCCTGAGGGGGAAGTGGGTTATAGATTCCTCGGTCTTCTAGCAAAGATCAGCCTCTTTCACCTTTGTAATTTCACATTTGTGAAATTAATGTAATTATTATAATTAAAATAATGTGCAGTATAACTTTACATTAGGCAACTTAAGCAGTTTTGGTCTTTAATAACTTTAAAGACTTTCATAATTATGGAGCGCTTTTTGTAGGTTCCTAATACTGCCCTACTCTAAATTCTGGGTGTGGTGAATACCTATAATCCCAGGACTTGGAAGGCTGAGGCAGGAAGATTGCTGCCTAGGCTATGCAGTGAGTTTAAGGCGAGCCTGTATTACAAAGCAAGG